ATGTGTGTATCTGTGGATGTTGATGTTGATTTCATCTGTCATTTGAGCATAGTAGCCCAGCATTGCTTAAAAATTTTCTTAAAGAAGTTATCTACCAATACCAGAATTATTCAGATATCATAAAGCATCTCTACACAAAAGGTTACCATTTTGCAGGCTTTATATATACATATGTTACATAGGAGATACATATATATGTCCTATGTCACATCTCTAAGAAACAAGGTACCTGACATAACAATTTTACATTGGGGAACAATTTTATAGTTATACATATAAATATAAGATACATATACACATATACATACGCATATATATATATATATATATGTCGCTGCTGTCGGAAGAAAACCTCGATTTTTCAGTTTTTGACATAATTTAAAAATGTCTGTTGTTCTTTACATTGTATGTAAATTTAATGAGAGATGGACCAAAAGAAACGACCCAAAATGACTTTTCCATTTTTCCATTTTTCCAGTTGGGTTCCATTGACTTGCATTAAAAATAAAATAGGTTTTTTAAACTAGGTTTTTACCTTCTCCTATAAAGTTGTACACTGGTTCATTACTTGATCTATATGATTTACCAGAAACTTTCTGAATAATTTGAACACTGAATCAACAAAAAGTTACACAGAGAGTTTAAGTGCTATACATGTAACTTTGACTGTGATCATATGCTGATTGGAGCTGTGTAGAATGTGGAGCCTGTGAATTTTATCTGATTTTTCTCACCAATGTTAGCGATTCCCATGACAGTGATCCACATGGCCTTAAATTATTATTTTATTTATACTTTTTATGGATTTGACCCATATGTGAGGGACGTACGCATGAAGCATATATAAAACGAGAAGAGAACGAGCCACTGATTTGTTGACAGTTTTTCCTGCATAAATAATTGCGTAATTAAAAACTGTTAGTTTTAACATTTGTTGGTATTTGCTAATACCTCTAATCAGATGACCATAACTCTTTGTACCAGTGAGATTATTTACGTTTGCTGTGTCTGAAAGTTGTGTCCCTGGTATGTTGCGTTTAACTTTACCTTTAACTTTGGTCAGTCGGACACAAACAGGCCTCAGAGGTTTCTTAAGCGTCCGAGGCTGAAGTAACAGTTGTGGTTAGAGCTATGAATGAGCGTTTTGTGCAAAATCTGGAAGCTTTGGGCAGCAAACAATGTGAAATAAGAAGACTTTGGCAGTCGCACTGTTTGTGTGTCGCAGCGAGTTTGTCTTCATGTCGTTGGTTCTGTGGCATTTTTTACCTCGACTTGATTGAATGGCGGCCTTTTATAGCAGCAAAACTTCATTCTGGCACATTCGTTCTGCACTGACACTACTTTCTTTCATGTAATCACTGCTACGGCGAGTTAATGGCAGCGTGATTGGATTAGAGGCTTCTGTTGGCAGAGGACATTCCTCGCACGCTGACGTGATGGGGAGAGACAAACCTTTCTCCCGAAAGCTTCTTTATCTGAGGACCGACAGAAAATTCCATTTCAAACTGGCCTCAGATCAGCTGTGCTGTGTCTTTTCTAACGCTTTAAGTTTTGATTTGGAGAGGAGACACTGGTCTCAGATCTGTGTGAGTGAGACTGAAGGAGGGCAGGGTCAAAACTTTATCCAATGGACTTTTTGCTGTTGTATCAGTGAGTAGTTTTAAACAATTTGGTGGAAAAAAAAGTCCTTCCCTGAGAACTAGAGTGGGGGATTTCGAGCTTTCTAAAGCGCTCAAAGAGCCTTATGTTCCCCTGAAGACGTTTATAAGCCAATTTAAGAACCAAAGGACAATAAATGATATAGGGGGATGGCATTTATTTACTTATTTGGTGATGTAAATGATGTAAGATTGTCTTGTATTAACAACATACGCAAGATATTCTGACCACAAAGTTAGCTGTGTTTATTTTTTTATGTAAAATAAATAATAACAATGCTTATAGCCTGAAAATCAAGACTAAAGTACTATTGAAGTCTAAGCTTGTGTTAATCACAGAGATGACAAACCTACGCTTAGAGTGGGCTTATAATGAATGAACTGGATTTCATCTGGCTGATAGGGGACTGTAGAATGCGTAATGATGGTAGATGGTTGTTTATGGACATTATCAGGGAAGGTTTAAGATAGCTGTTGTTTTACTTTACCTACTTGTACATTGATGAGGCACAAAAAGATAACCTGTCAGTCTTGCGCAGGCAGAGGCCTGTGTGTGTTCACCGGTGGTCTGGCGATGAGCTGGTGCCTGTACAGGACCCTGCTGTGCTGATTTTGTGGTGGTGTTGTAGGACAGCGGTGTCCTGCTGTGGTGGCTGTAGTGGGTCAGCAGGGTCTGAGACCCTCCGTCCATCTGGCTGCTGTTGCTGTTCAGCCTGGATCACTTCAAGTGGATGTTAAGACTCTTAGCTGCTAATTACTGTGATCATATACTGAAGAATGAGTTCCATAGACTGACATGTTTTATGTTGTAAACCTTAACTAGATTTCCACAGCATAAAATTGATATCTGTTCTTGGTTCTTGGTATGAATTTCTTATCCAGTTTATATTGTTTGGGATGTTCTAAAGGCTGAACAAAGGGTTAACTTACAAAACAATGAGATAGCAACTCTAATTTTACAGTTCGTCGACATCTCTATTGAAACCTCCACTGAAACCGACTATACGAAGATTGCTTAACGTATCTTAATGCATCAAGGATCTCGAATTTTTCCCATAAATTCTGTCCACTGCACAAAAAGGTGAAGGCAGAGACGTTTTTATATGTCACTACAAGCCACATTTCCTTATAATGTACAGCAGTTTCCTTAAAATGGTTTTAATGGAGAGGAAAAACTTCAGCATAATATTTCATGCTTTCTCCTGACGCTCTCATACTTTTACCAGTAGACAGTATTCGTGACCATTATGATGTGACCAAAATGTTGTTGTTTTATCACATGAAGTCATATTAAGCTTTTCCTTATCATCAGTTTCAATAGAGAGAATCTAAAACTAACTTTGTTTTTGGGTTACAGTTTTATTCTGTTGCCATGAGAAAGTGTGTATGACCGGTAAGATGCGAGAGAAGTTTGTTTTAGTTGTTTTAGTATATTAAGCCATTTTGCTTGAAAAATAAGATGCTCAACGCAACTTTCATCCATGCTGGGTCCACCCGTATCACAATCAGTGCAATAAAGATAAACTTACTCGACCTCTGCTTCTTTATGAACGACCGGTTTAACTATGCACACATTTGAATTTCACCTCTTGAATTTCCAGGGCCTGCCATTTTATTATACTTCTTCAACCTAAGAATGGCTCAGCCAGTTTGCATCAAAGTCCCTGTAGTCTCTGAATAATAAGCCTTAGCATGTAACATTCCTGGGATTTTAAGGGGTTAATCAATCAGGCCAGGGGCAAACCTTCATAGGATTCTGGCAGCAGATTAAACGCACTGTTGTCTTGATATCAGTATAGGCTACAGTGAGTGACGGCTACAAAACAAAAGAATGAAGTGCCGGTAAAGATTAGTAATGTCTTCAAATCAAAGCAAGTCGAAGAGGCGGCTGTGACAATCAGCACTAAGGGACTTTAACTGACTCTACTGTTAGCATTGTGAGAGCAATTTAAAAAAAAATTCAATTGACTTTCTTGTATAAAACGGTCCTTGATTTATTTTTTCATATCATATAATCATTACAAATATATAATTATTTCATATCATATAATTATTACAAAAAAATGTGTGCAGGGGTCCTTTTGAAGTATGTTGCCTTGAAGCAACATTGTGTGATGATGGGCAGGAACGATATAGAGCCGTGTTCCACTCTTTTAAGCTACGCTACATACGTTTACCCATCATATAGGTAAGAGTTTGTCAGTACAGTATGCTGAACTATGGATTAAACACTAACACACACTCACTCTCTAATGCACATGCACGCAAACCTCTTGTGGCGTGGGTCAGTCAGTGTCACTGCCTCTAAGTGCACTCAGCTACAATCACCGTCCACCTCTGATCTTCCTCCCTCTCTGTTTTCATTCCACTCCCCTTTTTTCCTTATCCCTCTTTTTCTCTTTTCTTTCCATCCCTGACATCTCTCCCTCTCTTACCCCGAGCGCGTTTCTCCCTTCTCCCGTCCATGACCTCTCCAGCCAGTGGTCCGCCCACACCGCCCTGCAGTGGCCTCTGTTGTGTCCTGGGACACTGGTCCCAGGCCTGGGAGTGTCCGGGCTTTTCCCAGGACAAAAGAGCACAGCCCTGCTGGTCACTCGCACTGGCACGGATCAGACCAGCCAAGCGCACAGGGAGCACATTAACCCGGCTGTGGTTTCTCACGTGCTTCCTCTCGCCCTCCGTCAGGACTACCAGGGCATTTAGGACCTCTCTAAAAATATATCTCTCTATTTATCTGTCTTAATAGCAGCTTGACCCCTTCTGTCCTGCGCCGTCATCTCCTGTAGCACTGCTAACAGCCTCAAAGCATGTCCATCATGTTTTAATAGTCATAATCATCATGCAGATAATCTGATAAACCTCAGTAGCTGTGATAAAGAGATAAAATTGGAAAATGCTGTATTTTTAAAAATATATGTTTTAATAATTCGTAGTAATGGTCAGTGTGTTGGGCTTGAGAGTGAGATAATGTGAAAATGGGGATGTGGTTACTTCACTTACTAAAATGCATTTAAAAACAAAAAAAATTATGCAAATTAAATTAAATATTTGCACTTTTAATTATTCAACCAGGTATCACTGTTTGTGTGTTCAAAAAAGAAAACAGTAAGTTTTAGTCATTTTTTTTTGTAGTTGTGTCCGACGATTTGTCATGTTCATGGAAGTAAACCAATCTCTGCCTTTTGGAATTCCGGGAATTTCAGTACACAGCGCTGCCCAATCTGTGCTCTTTGAAGGAAGACGGACTTGTTCTAATACGTGGCCGCTTTTTCTGTGAGCTCTTCTGAAGAATGCACCAAATATTCCAAAAGTACAAACGTTTTTCTCTCTTTCTCTATTTAGAAAAGGAGTTCCTAGCCTCTTTGAAGCTGGCAAGACTGCTGGACATCCTGATTTCTCAGAGGAAGGCCCAGAAGAGGAAGAGGAGAAAAACATGGTGGGAAAAGATCGGAGTGTCAGTGAGGTATGCCTCATATTGTGAAAGCAGTTGTGAAAGTATGTTCAGGTCCCCTGTCGAAAAACAGGAATCAAACAGGCAGTCATAACAATATCAGGTAATAAAGAAACTGTGCTGTGCTTACCTTGTCTGATATGCACTTGGCCTGAATGAGAATATGGGGTAATGGAAGTCACCGCCTTAAGCCTGGCTTGCACTTCCAGATAATCAGGACTTTTTTGAGGCTGGCAACCACAAAAGATGTCCCAGTTTTGAATTCAGAGATTATTCTAGACAGGCAGCTGTCCTGGAGTAATTTAATGAGGATCGACTAGCTGAAAAATAACATAGCTGTATAAGAACAATACAATTTCACTGCACAACAACAAAAATAAACTTGGGCTACGTTCACATTACAAGCCTCGTTGATCAAATCTGATGCTTTGCTCAGATCCGATCTCTCTGACAGGATGGTTCACACTCGTTTAGGTAAGTGATTCAAATCTGTCATTAATGTGACGAACCGGCGTCCAGAAACGACCCTCATGAGCTCATCCTACTCAGTAACGTCACGTAAATGAATCACGTTCATCATCAGCACAAACTAACGAGCAGAACGAGCTTCGCTGAGAAGATCATTAACTCTGATCAGCTCTCAGCTTCATTATTAGAGCGAGACGAAGGAGAAAAAGGTGCGATGAGCTGCTTTTCCACTGTTTACAGGCTTTAACTTCTGTTCGGCGCTGCTGCCATGGTAACGCTGAATGATGGTGGAAAAAAAAGCACGAGTTCCGATCTGAGCATCACATTAAGGTCGCATGGCCACAAATCGGATAGGTATCCGATCTAGGACCACATATGAATGTGGTTCAGGTCGGATTTGAAAAGATCAGATTTGTGTCCACACAGCCCTGAAAACATCAGATCTGAGTCACATTAGGGCAAAATAAATCGGATTTGTGCCACTTCAACCTGGTAATGTGAACGTAGGCTTAAACTAGCAGTACATGAACTCCTGACAGTAAATTTAGTTGACACAGATTAATTTGCTGGAAATTGTACTTTTTCTTATTTTCTTCTAGTCTTTGTAAACTAATCCTTCAGTCGGTTATGAAAAAACATGTTTCTAAATTTTTACTTACAAAATGTCAGTATTCCTACGTGTCTATCAAACCTATGAATTATTCATTTCTGTATGCACAGCATGGGTTTACATGTTTTCACAGGCATTTTTGACCTAATATTTTTCTTCAGACGTTCTCTTGAACAAGGACAGCTAAGTCTCATTTACATAAACAATTATTGCAGATGTGCAATGAATTCTTTATGGTTTTTATATTGTTTAGCATGAAATATTTTACCGATGAGAACAGTATAACGACTGAATTTCCAGGTGAATGTTTGTAGTGCTCTAGAAAGACTGGACTCTTTTTAAGAGGTTATATGTTTTAACATTTCTTATTGTTGGGGGGTCTGTTATGCATTTTGGGCCAGATTCATAAGATGCGCTTGTACTTGCCTTGTCGTTAAGAGCGAGGAGCGTATCAGTAGCACGTTTGCTCATTCATAAATGTGTTTTACCGCTTGCGCAACGTGAGGTTTTGCCATTTACACATTTACATGTGGTGGTAGAGATTCATAACATGACACAGCTGAGCAAAAATGAATATCTTTCCTGGTAATTTTCCCTGGGAAACCTTGAAAGTTCTGTTGTAGGAGAACACAAAGAGGAAGAAGACTAGCTAGAGCAGGATTTCGTATTCGCACTGCACTTAAACCAGCCTCTTCTTCCTGCTTCAAATTCAATGTTTTGTGAATCCCCCTCCTGTGTGGGGAGAGTAGGATTACCTTATAATCCAAATGAGTGAACAGTAATTTAATTCTGATTACATGTTTGAATTGATTTGACTGTTGGCAGTTTTAGCTTTCAATCCTGTTTTTCAATTTACATTAAATTTTACAAAGAAATTCAATTTACACAAATTCATTTCTTAGAAGTAAACATTGAATTTTTTACTAGACAAAATATAATATTTATAATTACTAGTGTAATTTTAAGGTGGAGATCAAGAAAAATAAAAAGGAAATAAAAACTAAAACAGCGGCCATAAAAATTAGACTTTCATCATGAGAATTAAATTTTTAATTGTGTGTATAAAATCGATACGTTTACATATTAAATTACTGCAATTATTTTGAACTGGAAAAATGTTCGAATTCTTATTGATGGGAAATGAAATTTTACATGCTAAAATATAATTCCGAATTTTAAGATGTTGTAATTAGACTTTAAGATACATCTCATTTTCTCTAGTATCAACAACATTTTATGTAACTTTGTTTCTTGAACAGTTAAATGCATCTTTACCAAACAATTTACCGTAGTTTGCCAGCACTTTATCCCTTAAAATTCATAACTGTTTCTTTTTGGTTTTCTTTGTTTCTTTGTTTTTGTTTCTTACATCTTATTTATTTTGGCAGCCAATCAGAGTTTCACATGGCCTGAGTCTTTAACATGTATGACCTCAGGTACATGTGGATTTTGATTGGCTCTTGTCCAGAACACCACAGCATTAAAAAGACACCGGTGGACAAATCACCGCCATGGTGCCTTTATGAACAGCTCTTATTTGCCACTGAGTTTTGTGGATCTGGCCCATAATACCTTGTAGGGACGCCTCTGCTCTGTGCGGTCACTCTGTAACGTGTTAAACTCCACAGCATGATGTTTACAATCTGTTAAGAGGTTTAAAAGTACGTCTCTGAAATAATATTTGGAGCACAGTTTTACAATATTGCACTCTCTTAAAAGAAATGGTTCTTCAAGGGTTCTTTAGTAAGAAAATGGTTCTATATAGAACCATGAACACTCAAAAAACCTATTGTATGATTAAAGGGTTCTTTGCATCATGAAAGGGTTCTTCCGGTTGATGGAGAACGTGCTGTAGATGGTTCTGTATAGCACCAGAAAAGGTTCTTCTACAGTGATGATGTCAAGCTTGTAACAATAGAAGGACCGTTTTCTTTGTAGAACCATCTATAGCACGTTCATGCACATTGTCCATCAATCTGAAGAACTCTTTCATGATGTAAAGAAACCCTTTAATCATGCAAAAGGTTCTTTGAGTGTTCTTTGTTGTGTATAGAACCATTTTCTTTACTGAAGAACCGTTGAAGAACCATCTGTTTTAGGAGTGCATGGTGGTGTGATTTGAAAAGAGGTTTTATCTCAGAAATACAGGTAGAAATAAGCGGCTTTGTGTGTTTCAGCTCTCCAGGCTGATCAGGAGGATTGTAGCCCAGCAGTACAGAGACGTGGTGAGGGAGTTTGAGGAGCTGGATGAGAAAAACACCAGAAGACTCACTCAGGAGGACATGTACCAACTGCTCAGGAGGTACACAAGATGTACATTTTATGTTTTGTACATTTCTGTAAATACTTGAGAAGTTCCACCCTTTAAGTTAATTATCAGACTGAGTAATTCAGCTAAATGGTTACATCAGGAAAATTACCCAGTCTGTATTCTCAGATTTTTAACTGCCATGAGCTGTTTTACTGAAAAAGACAAGACGTTTATGTATGTTTATTACACCCCACTTCAAAGTAGGAACAAGATTTCAGCCTGTTTTTGAGGTCCATTTGTTCAGCCCTGAATTCTAATACTTTTAAATATATAGGAAATTTAGGAAAATATCACAATATTTTGAATTTAACTATTTAGTTTGATTATATGAATTAAAATAACCATTGAGTCAATCCTGCTGGCCACTAGAGGGCCTGCAGAAATGGGCTATAAAAACGCACACGCTTGTTCTTATGCTTACATATCGCTGCTGTCGGAAGAAAACCTCGTAACTCCATTTTTGTCGTTTTTCAGTTTCTGATATAATGTGAAAATGCCTGTTGGCCTTTACTTTGTTTGTAAATTTGATGATGAATGGACCAAAAGAAACGGCCCAAAAATACTTGGAAAAAGTCTGGTTCCATTGACTTACATTAAAAGTAAGGTGTGTTTTTTCCTTCTCCTGTAAAGTTACTATTTTGGAGATATGAGGTTTTGTTCCAACAGCAGCGATATAAAAATGCAAAGTATCAACATTTTAAGACTTTTTTGCAAGTTTTCTTCCTAGTTTTAATGTTATTGTGTCAGCGCTCCAGTCCAGTTAGTAATGAAATTTATAGGCCACTTCAAACCCCCCACCACACCCCCAGCAACAGCAATCACACAAACAAACATGCAGTCTGTGTGCACTCAGGCTGTGATGAAGATCACTCCTCATTGTGCTTTACCACCATGCTAAATCTCTGCATTTCTCCTTGCGTTCCTCTGCCCTGTGTCTCCCACAGTCAGCCCCTGTGACACAAGCAGCCCTTGTGCGGCTCACAGGACGCCCCCTCCCCTCTCCGGCACAGATCAGGGGGCTTTCGAACTCTTTTGTCCTCTAAGACAATGAGATCGGAAAGTAGCCCTTTCTCTTGGCAAATGATGCCTTAATTGTGCAAGTTAACAAGCCTGTTCTCTCTGCTCCCCCCATGAATAACAATGTGTTTGGGCTGAGGAGGGCTGGCACGGTGAGGCTCTCTGAGCTCCTCACTCTCGCCCTCTTACACGTTCCCATGGCACTCTGTCTGTCTCTCTGTCTCTCTCTATCTATCTCTCTGTCTGTCTGTCTGTCTGTCTGTCTATCTATCTGTCTCTCTATCTATCTATCTATCTGTCTCTCTATCTATGTATCTGTCTCTCTCTCTATCTGTCTCTCTATCTATCTATCTATCTCTCTATCTATCTATCTCTCTCTCTCTGTCTGTCTCTCTATCTATCTCTCTGTCTGTCTGTCTGTCTGTCTGTCTATCTATCTATCTCTATCTATCTATCTGTCTCTCTATCTATCTGTCTCTCTATCT